AGCGAAATTACGATCAGATGGTGGCGCCGTCAATATTCCATTTGACCCACAATGAACGCCTCAGTCGCAAAACTCGAGTGGCACAATTAGAGCACCGACTGCATGAGTGAGAGTGCAATTAAGAAGACGGGCGGAACAGAAGCAAAGGGTTGCGGCGAACCGGCTCTTTATTGAGCGGCAATGCACAGAATAAACAGCATACGCGCGCTGGATGGCTGGGGAGGCGCGGGGGTTCCCGGAGGGATGAAGTGATGGTGGTCAGTTGGGCTTTCTCATATTGATTCCCTTCTTGAAAGCAGCGTTATGGAATTATTTGGCCGGCTTTGGGAGCGGAGAAAGAAAGAAAGAAAGTGTTGAATCAAACGCGACGGGCTGACAAGATAAAAATCTCTCGAGCTGCACCGTCGAGATGACACGGGAAACTCTAAAGATTCGCGAAAAAGAACGAAAGAGAAAACACACAAAGTAGGCAGGGTGCCAAGCGTCTGGCGGCCTTGGACATTCTGCAACTAAAAAAGTTGCCGCTGCATCAATTCTTATAACTTTGAGGAGGGAAAAGGTCGGAAAAGACCTCTTGAAAAACAATGCAACCTTCGCGAAGAGAAACGTGCGCTTTGCCTCGTTTTCAAGATTGAAAAACTTTTGCGATTTGACGGGTCCGGACAAAAGTTTAACGAGATGAATAACGACTCGGATGTGTTTCTCTTTCTTTTGACTTGGCGCCAACATTGCGCTCCAATTTTTCTTCGCACCAATTGAAAAGTTGAAGAGCCGAGACAGCGAACGTGCGTGTATTTACAGATGCCACAGGAGTTCTCTCACATCCTAATTGACTTGTTGGTTCAAATGAGGGTGAATCGATACAACATGACACACAATCAGGAAATTAAATTTTTTAAATAAATCGCTGAAAATTAATCAGAGTTAATTTTCCAAAATGGAATTGTCTTATTGTAATAAAATCTAATAAAAAGAACAAAATTTTTAATAATGAAATAAAATTATCACCTCAACTGCCCAAATTGTCCACAGCAACAACTTCAAGAACCTAAATAGAACATTTTAAATGTTTTGGGGATGCAAAATATAGTGTCAATAACGTTAATTGATATATTTTCCCCAGGCATTTTCTGCCCCTATAAATTCAACAATGCAGTTTATCACCTACAAGAGCAAGAATAACGCAAAAATAAATGCAAGTAAAGATATCAGGCTTTTCCTCCTTTTAAAAATTTTTTTTTTTTTCTTTCTAAAAACAAAACAGCTCATTCACGGTCTGCGACCCTATTTCATGAGCTATGACAAAATAAAAAAATAAAAAAATACAAAAATCTTCAAATTGAAGAAAAAATATTTTAACAAAAAAATTTATAGCTTCTAAGTTGTTTGTTCTAACTAACAAATAATTAAAAGTTTGCTCATGAAATTTGAATTTGTCAGTTTTACGGTTTTGAATTTTTTGTTAAAATGTGATCTTTTTACCTTCTTTTAAAAAATTATTTCGCTGATTTTCTCTACTTTTCTTGCTCATGAAATGGGGTCGCAGACAATGACCGAATCTGGTATCTAGAGCCGATTTGTTTTTCAATAAAAACAATTTTTTACAATGAGGAATAAGCCCGAGTTCTTCACTTCCATGATCATATCCTTTAATTGACAATTTCTTCAAAAAAAAGCAATAATTGAACAAAATCAAAAAATTTTTGTTCAAAATTATTTCAGTATAATTTTTTGAGTCTCTAACAATGAGTTTTGTAATTATGTCTATTTTTTAAGAAATTTGAATTTTTTGAAGCATAGTTGCGTGTCTCAAAGTGTCTTCAAATTGAACCATTGCATATATTCATTTTGTAAATTACGTTTTTTTTTTTTAGATCGAGTGTCTATTTGTTAAAGATCCACTTGGAACTTGACGCTCCTTTCTGCGTCGTCACTTACGTTAATGACGTCCTCATGTAAATGAGAGGTGCATTTGCAAGTCGCCTTGGGAGCGACGACGGGCATTTATTTTAAACGACGACACCTGGCCCCACATCTGCGCTGGCATCATTGCTAATTCAGAGGGTGGCTGCTTTTTCCTCATTGCATCAACAACCCCGCCGTGTGTCAAACGCGCAACGTCGGCGTCACGCACACCCCGCGGCGACATTCGAGGCAAACTATACGAAATGAGCATCTTCGCAGGCAGACGCAAAGAAAAGAAAAATCTCTCGCGTCAAAATGTTTTACGCTCAACACGGAAGGGAGTTGCTCTGACTTTTCTGGATCTTTTTATATATTTGACTTGACTGACGCGCTCTTTTTGTTTCAAGTAAAGAGTTGAGGGTCTGGCTGAGCTCAAATAAACTTAAGAGCTGCTGCGTTTGAGAAAGGCCAGTGAGTGTGCTTGAGGGAGACTTGTCTGGACCGAGAGGTGACTAACGACTCTTGCTCATTATTATATTTCTTCCTTGACGCAAAATTATATTCTAAGAAGCCCTTTTTTTTACAAATTTTGAAATTTTTCATGATAATTAACATGCGATATTTAAGTTTTAAAATGAAAAAAAAAACAATATAATAACGATTCTTTAAAATAAAAGTTATTTTCTACTTGATATTTGAGTTGTTTCCCTTGATATTCATTTCATTTTTATCATCATCGTTTCTTTGTATATTATTTGCAAATTTGCAACCTTTTAATGACTTGGATTTATTTTCCATGGCACAATTTTGGACATTAGTGAGCTTAGCGGTGTCATTTGAGCAGCCGGTTTCTGTTGAGCAAAAAACCGGCGGCGAAAAGAAAACAGGGCGAAGAGAGAAGGTTGGTCGCCCACTCGCCATACATCATTCATGGAGCTCAATCAATCAATGGCATTCACGTGCACGACGCGGCTTGAAGCGAAGAAAAACTCTGCGAACGAAAAGTTTCTGAATGCTAAGCAGGCCGCCGGACGCGCCGATTGAATTCGAGAAAAAGCAAAAACTGCGAGGCGCGTTGACGGGAAAAAGAAGTGTCGATCCATTTATTTGGCTGCCTCGAGGCTCACTAATTGAGCGATTCCGACGCCCGCTTTTTTCCGGCTGATCCGATTAAGAATCGATCCGAACGACGGTGCTTAGAATTAATCCCAATTATACCGAGTTGCCGTGACTCGTCCTTATTAAATTATGAAATATTCAGACGGTACATTATGTAATTTCGTTTTCCGGCCTGCGTGCCGCGAAATACAATTTTTGGCACGCGAATTAAATTAGTCAGGTCCCATGTGGAAATTTCTTTTGGTGTATAATTTATTTGGCTGGTAATTAACTCGGCATAAAATATGCTGTCTGAGCGAATTAATTTAAGAGGAATAAAGCTCTCGAAAGGTCAAGTGTCAGGCAAACAAAATTAATCAACGTGTGCGTGCTGGCTCAACGTTTTTTTGGCGCGTAAAACTGAAAATTAACTCGTTATACAAGCATCAGCGCTCGCGTTTGTGCGGCTGTAAATTTCCAGATTGTTTTATGGCCGGTTCGAGAAAGCGCTTTTTGGCCGTAATCATGATTTGCTGTGTTAACCTTACAATAATATGCGTGTTTTAAGTTTTAAACTGTGACCTTTCTTTCTTAGTGGAAAAATATTTTCCATTGTTAGTGAAATTAATTTTTTTGCGCCGATTCTCCTCTTTCTCCGCCAAATAATGCAACCAACACACAGCCTGCGAGTTTCAAAATATGAATGCTCGTTCGCCTGACAGAATCCATTTATTTCTCGAGACAATAATAAATCTCAAAAGCTTGGCTATTCTCGCCGAGCACAAGTTAGCGGCGACAGCGAGCATTATTTCACTTTACTTAACAGACGCGAAACCACGAAACGCGACAGAGAACAAATTTTAACAAAACCGCCGCCGCTGCACCGAGAGTATAGCAGGCAAGGAAAACCCAGAGGTATACAAATTAAACTGGGGAAAACGGTCGTGTGTTTGTGTGTGAATTGTTATTATACGCATAAAAACATGTTTTTATGCGTATGTATACGACTTGATCAGTCTAAATCAAACGGGTTAAACAAATTCTAGCCACTGAGAATAACAAGAACTGAATTAATAAAATTTTTAGTCAGGTACATGCCAACATGGAAATTCATTTCTAAAAAATATATAGACTAATCACTGCAGCGGATTGGGTCTTTTTGATCTTGGAAGTTTAAGCAAAATTATCGTTGGTTGTGGTGCCGTTTTGTCCAAATAAATTTTTGTCTTTTCAAATAAACTGTTTTAAACATTTGAATTTAAAAAATGTGACGTAAAAAAATTGGACAAATGAAAAACAATAATAAAAATAATCAATATTTTCAAATGCGGAAGATTCCATAGAATATCAAAATATCGACTAATATATTATTTGTTTGGACTATGAAAAAGAATGATTAAAATTTCAACACACATAAATCAGAAATATTTGAATAAATCATACTTCTCAAAACCCAAAGGGTGTTTACCAACTTTTAAGAAAATTTTAAATAGAATGCATTGGGACCACGGGAAAAATTTAATTAACTTCTAGGACAATTCTGTTTTAAAGTTTATATAACTATAAATATAATAACAGCTTTTATTTTTCTTAAAAATTTTGCAAAAGAGCGCTCACTGCTATGAATATTTTAATGAACCATTTTTTTTAATTATTACAAGTAATTTTTACTATCAATTAAACATGGACTTTGCCACTTATAAAGTCCAAAAGCTCATTTATGGCAATCGATGTCGATTCAATGGAATCTGCCGCTAAAAACAATTTTGCTCGAGTTTTGTAAAATATTTCATTTTAAAAAATCAGATAAAACTTCACCTTAAAAAACAGTACAATTTTGGTTATATATATGTGATTAAATATTTTTATATTTGCAGAAATTGATTATTTTTTAACGTCGTAGCGGAATTGCATAATGCGTCATTAAATTTTAATAACAAAAAAACACTTTTTTGAATCTACATTACAACGAATTTGAAAATAAGAGGTTGGTTTACCTGAAGAAGAGGTGGACGCGTGCATGTCTCACGCGCAGGGGGTTGGCAGAGGGCGAAGAGACGCTCAGGGCAAGGTGGCGAGAAGAATGAGGAGTAGGAAGGGTGAGGGTGGCGCGGCGGCTGAGACATATCACCGCCTCCGAGGAACACGGACGCTGCACCCCCGCACGGCCGACATGCGTCCGACGCTAGACTGGCACGTGTCGGAGGTCGAGGCGGGTCGGTCAGGCTGGCGCGTCGAGAGCCACTGGCGAGAGAAGCGCGCGGCGCAGCCACAGAGAGCAGATCCGCCGCGAGCAGCCCAGCGAGTGGCGCAGCCGCCGCAGCAAATCTCATCGGCGGGCGCCGCTCTCGTGCTCGTGGCGTGCACCACAACAAAACGACTCACGACCTCCACCCTCGCGTGTGTGCACCTTTCTTCGTGACTTTTGCCCCTTTGACGTCACCGCCGTTTTCAGAAGCGAATTAAGAAAACGGTGAACTCTGAGATTAGGGTTGCGGGTGACGCACGCCGCGTTTTGCGTTTTTGCTTTTTAAGATTGACGTGCCGATTGCTTTGCTGTTTTCTCAAAGCAGATTGACGTATGCTTTGCAGGAATTATTTTAATTTCGGTTGAATTTCTTTTTAAAACGTTCCTTTAAAAGGTACATTTGTATAATCAAAGATCTAAAGATTTTTTCCGTCGGCTACTTGAACTTTCAGAATGTTCTGGTCGTGTTTTGTGCAACGAAATATAATTAAATTTATAAAATGTAAATAAATTTACGTTGTGAAGATTGATTTTAAATTTGAATTTTCCTTGATGGGGTTTTTTCTAAATCCTTTCTTGTTTTATTAGAAAATACAGTATTCTGTCTAGGTTTTGGACTGCAGGCGTAATTCATGAGTTGAAATTTTTATTTGTTTGAAGAAGTTGACACTCGAGGTGATGATCATGGAAATGAAGACTCGGGCTGTTACTCGTTGCAAAAAATTGTTTTTATTCAAAAAACAAACGGCTCTACCAGTTTCGGTCACGGTCTGCGACCCTATTTCATGAGCAAGAAAAATACAAAAAATCAGCAAATTGAAAAAACACCACATTTTAAAATAAAAATTAAAATCTTAAAAACTAACAAATTCAGGTACCAACCTATTTCATGAGCAAACGCGCTGCTCGCTGTTGGTTTTTAAGATTTTAATTTTTTTTTTTAAAATGTGGTGTTTTTTCAATTTGCTGATTTTTGTATTTTTTCTTGCTCATGAAATAGGGTCGCAGACCGTGACCGAAACTGGTAGAGCCGTTTGTTTTTTGAATATAAACAATTTTTTGCAACGAGAAAAAGCCCGAGTCTTCATTTCCATGAAATTTTTATGCTTAGAAATTCTAAAAATTGATTAATGTAATAATTATAATTCAAACAACACGACATAATGAATTGAATGAGATGAAATTGACACTCGAGGAGATGATCACTTTAGCTTTTCCTCGCTGTAAAAAATTGAACGGCTCTACCAGTTTTGGTTTTAACAATTTTATACATCAAGGAAAAAGCCCGAGTTCTTCACTTCCATGCATCAATTTTATTCGGTTCTCCTAAACAAACCACGAAATTTTTTTTACTAAATTTAAGTTTGATTAGAAAATTGCACAACCCGCTATGATTATTTAAATCAAGGTGTACAAAAAATGTAAAAAAGGCGAACATTGTAAATTATGCTTCCACTGCGACAATATTATTAATATCACATCAAAGCTGCTTCAAAGACATAATATGCGCCCTCCAGGTAGTCTGACTTTAAGCAATGCGGCGTCTCTGCTGTCTCATCAAGTGCTTCAGAATAAAGGGAAAAAATGGGGTCGGCATCCTGAGATTGTGCAAGCAAGGTTAATCGGCGGCGGCGGCTCATGAATTCTAATCTGCAAAGCGTCCCCGTCGGATGCTTCTTTTTAAGACCGAGCGGCGGATTGGCCCAGTTAAGGCTCAATAAAGAGTGTTTTGTGAGATTGCGATTGAATGATCTCGAGAGGGCCGCTTTTCCTCGTCGCCGCCGACGGAGGTGCCCACGGTGGCGCTTGATCACAATTCAACCCCGACACTTGATTCGCCGGGCTTTGTTTGCGCCAAGAAGGCCATTATCGTCTGCATTACTCGCCGCTAAACGCGACATCCACTTGGAAGAAGCATGTCAGATTTATGGTGCCGCTGCTGAGAGCCGGGCTTGTGCGCGGTTTTGAATTAAAGTTCAAGTATGACGTGCTCTAAATTCGACTCTTCATACATTGCAGCTGGTATGAGAATGGTGGAAATTTGGCCTATTATTTGCATTGACAGAAATATTCTCAAAGCGGAAGCAACAATAAAAATTAATTTGTTTGAAGAAATTGACATTCGAGGAGATGATCATGAAAGTGAATAACTCGGGCTTTTTCCTCGTTGTAAAAATTCTTTTTATTCAAAAACGGCACGATCGACCCTATTTGATGAGCAAGGAAAATATAAAAAATAAGCAAATAGAAAAACCACTATTTTTATAAAAAAAAAAAATAAAAAAACTTTAAACTAAAAAATTCAAGTACCAACCCTTTTTGCTCATACGTAATAGGGTCGCAGACCGTGACGAAAACTGGATTAAAAACATTTTTTTTACACAAGGAAAAAGCCCAAGTTCTTCACTTCCATAAATTTTCTTTATATTAATTTAATACATAGTTGAAAAGATTAAATTGTTTGTAAGCCTTGGAAGAAGTTATGTTGGTTATATTTTTTATCTAATGGTGGCTCTTTTAGTTAAGAAATGCAAGAAATGTGAACTTACAAGAAGAATGATAAATATATAGTAATATTTGACACCAGTAAAAATATTAATAATTATTATTTTTGTTACAATGAGACGTAATTATGTATTTCGATAAAAATTAGTTCAAATTTGACTTATAATTTAATTCCTTTAGCCGTCTCAACATGTTTCTTGTCTTTTTTCGCTTAAAGATTGATATTAAAAATTTGAAAAAATTTGTAAATGATCATTTCTGTCTTCAATAATTATGTTCTTTCGATGAAATATTGTTGAAACACGTTTTGGGTACAAGTGCATGACCTCAACTGGATGGAGACGTGTTTCGCATTGCAGAGAGTTCAGCACGTCTCCTTAAAATAGAGCAAACTACTTTCATTTCCCTTTAACATTTCGCCGTCGTTTCATTCAAGGAAATCGCCATAACAATAAACCATTTTTGTTTTGCACGCAACAATCGCGATTCTGCTATAAATGCGTGTCGCTCTGCTTGGATTACTCAGCGTACTTTTTACTTTCCTTGTGCGAATTCCGTGCCACCAGATGCAATTATATTTTTCGCCAAGATTAGCAAAAGTGTAACAGACCAAAAAAATTAATCTCACACCATCCTGTATGTGAAATTTGCCGCTCTCTTTGAAAAAATAATCCACAGAAAGAAATACAGAATTATAATTAAAAAGGAACTTTTCAAATTTTAGCTCGCTTGCAAGTTCTGACATTTAATACATAATGTGAAAAGCTGAAGTTACAATTTCTAATATTATGGTTTCATTTCAAGATATTAACAATTCTGGTAAGAGTCCTTCCTGTTAGATGTTTATTTTCTATTTTTCCGAACAAATTTATTATTGATTGAATTCTTTCCTAAAAACTGTTGGTCTTTCTTCTTCTGCGATGTTCGTATTAGTAGGGATAGTTTCACAAGCATTTATTTTTCTCTGGGTATTGCATTTATATATGTTTATGCAGATCAACGCGGATGGTTCAATGATCCAGCTCGTGGAATGAGAGACGAGCGAGTCAATAAGCAGAGCGCTGCTGCTTACATTGGCCAGCCGTTATGGAGATTAGCCGCGCTACGAGTGTCGAGTTATTGGGCCACCAAAGTTTGGAAATGAACGCGCAGAAAAAGGGAGATTGCTGAATAAATCATGAAATGGATTTGCAGTTGGAGCTCGCAGCGGCATTATTGGCGGCGCTCATGAAAATTAAATAAGCAGGGCAAACAATAGCGCTCCGCGGTTTTATTGAACGCTTCCCTCTCATTATCTGCTGCCTTGGAGCCAAAATGTTGACAGAGTGCGTTTTTGCAAATTCAGAATACAGTTGCGATTGAAATAATCAAATTTGAAAAGTTAATAAATATTTTAGATTCCTAAATTTTATTTTTAATATTATCATTATCTTAATAATATTGAAATTAGTTTGTCGTAAACCATTGGCCAGAGTTAATTATAAAATTAAGATAGTTTTATACTAATTTTATAATAACTGACTAATTGCTGGGAAATGGAATCAATAAATTGAAATGCCAGAATTAAAAACAAAAAGTTGAATAATAATTTGAAACCAAGGCTGTTTCTAATGCTATGAAAAGCTCGTTAAATTAAATCATTAAATTAAATTATTCAGATCTTATATATATTTGTTAATTAAAATTTCTCCAATTTATGAATTACAAATTAAAAAACAAACCATCAGCATACTTGTAAAAATTTAGAAAAATAATTTCTCTCGCCCACCACCTGGGTGCACCAATCGGCGCGGCTCGAGCAACAAAGAACCCTGCTTTGGCTTGGCGGGCTGCAGCGAAAACGGCACCAGTTTTTCTCAGATTGTTCAATTGAGCGGGCGCGTTTCACAAGCTCGCGGCGTCTGTCGGCGGCGAAGTGGGCCAGAGGGGGCCCCTAATTGAGCCGGTGCCAAAATCGGGGGTTGCACACGGAGGCGCGCGCGAGGAGCTGCGAACCCTCGCGGCCGCAGTCGACCGACCCGCCGATCGATCGCGGCGCAGCATCCCTCCAAGAGAGGGTGCATCTGCAGCAGGAAGGACGCGGTGCGCTCCTATCAGCCACAGGACGCGTCCTTTTATCAGCGACAGACGGCGGCGGCGGCGTCACGCTGCCAATCACTCTGATTATTACTATCGTTAATGCACCACTCTCGTCTGCTTTTATCGTTTCCGCTGTGAGGATTATTGCAAGAAAATGCGAAGAAGCATTTTTAATTTGAAAAGTTTTGGCTCGGCTGGCTGGCTGATGAGTGAAAGCAACCGCGCCGGGCGGAATTTAAAACCGCGTGACGGAAGCAATAATACATTTTATTGGGCTATTGTCAAATGCCTTTCACTCGTAACGGATCAAAAAGCTTGTTCAAATCGAGTTTAGTGACATAAACTTTTCAATCGGCCACTTTTAAAGAATTGTTATTCAGGTTTCAGGTTGACAAAATTTGTGAACAAAAACTTAGTCAACCAAGGCTCAACCGCAGATGGGGTATTTTTTTTATCTCGTGAGTTTTAGCAAAATTCTTGCTAGTGGTAGTGTCGTTTTTTTCCAACAATTCTCTTTTTTTAATTAAATTGGTATCAACAATTGAATATGAACAATGGATTGTAACAAGGTGGAAAAATAAGCAGCAATTTTAATAAAGAAGATGAAAAAAAAATGATAGTTTTTTTGTTTTACCTGACATAAATTATTGTGCTTATTATTCACAATAAATGAAGAAAAAAAATTAAAATGTGAAGAAACGGTAATTAAATTGATTTTTTTCTTTCAATAATGATAAACAAATATATCCCTCTCTAAAAGTGTTTAATAATTAAAAAATTACTTCATTCATTTCACAACTGTTGCAAAACGAGGAGCTTGTGATATCTACACTGTAAATAGAACTTCTCAACCGTTTCCCAAATGTAATTTTTTTATGTCAACTGACATAATTATTAGATTTTTCTATCTTAATTGGGGTGATATAAACGTGATTTTCTGATATTTTTATCATTTCTGATCGGGCCTATTTTGAGAAGAAAATTATTTTAGAAAATTCAAGAAACAAAATTAAATTTCAAAATTATTAAATTTGAAAAAAAAAAAAAGTAAAAGTTCTCCCAATAAATTCAATTTTTCGTACTACGTCTTCTTGGAACAGGAAATCTACAAACCAATGTAGAGAAAAATTACAATAATAAATGATCCAACCGATTTTTATTTATTTATTTGTTTTTCTTTTGCTAAAGCCTCTCCTTTAATGAGCATCGTAATTTGGAAAAATGTACCAGCAGAATTGTAAATGAAAATTATTTGTAAAATTTGCTAGAAAAACATTTTTGTTTTATATTGTGAATAATTATATTTATCTTTAAATTTCTTTGAGCCCCATTTGTTTCCATTACTGTTTTTTTTTTAATTGTTTTATTTTTGAGCATTGCATTTATGCCTTGAACAAAATGTTCTAATCCATCTAAATTCCTCCACAAAAAAGCAAATTGGAATTTCGCAATTCTTCTGCAGCTAGCGTGAGAGTTGAGTAAGGATCTGTAATAGCAAACATCAGTTTCAGCTGACACCCAGTTTAATTATGCATCAGCGTTATTTACTCTGCAGTTTAGTTTGTTGTCGTATTATTTATTTTGTTATCGCACATTCTAAATGAGGAACGTTGCAGGCAACAACTGGCCAAGACCGATCGCAGGGGTTGGTCGCGTGCGTTACAGCGATTCTGTCCTAGGTCAGCGAGGAATAAACTCAACTGAGCACACATTATAAATATTATGCACGATTAAATGACATGGCACGGAGCGTGCAACTTTTCGAGTTCAAATTTGTACTTGGCATGCAAATCAAATTACGTAAGCGCCGTAATTCGCATTGTACAAGTATGTAAACATGTGCATGATGGTTTCAGTAAATAAAAATTTGATCAACAGTTTGTTTAGTACTTTCAGCAAAAATAAAATATTAATCAATAGTGATAAAATTGACTATTGTACAAAATATCGTAAATAAAAATTGTAAGAAAATCTTGGAAGTGAAGAACTCAGGCTCGCTGTAAAAAATTGTTTTTGAATAAGCCCGAGTTCTTCACTTAGATCATCTCCTCGAGTGTCAATTTCTTCAAATATATAAAATGTTCAAAAAAAAAAAAAAATGGATAATTATTTGTTAAAGTAAAGATTAATATATTAAAACTGAACTTAACTTTTTTAGTTCCATTATTTACTGTGATTTACTACGATTGTATATCAATTCTTCTTCAATAATTTTTATTGGAAATGAATGAAAATTTCATTTTTGTACTAGAATTTCACGATCAAGGGTTGATTCATGGCCATTTGAATGGCTTTCCTATGATGAGTTGTTTTTCTAAAACAATAAACAACTCACAAAACCCATCGAGGAAAAGCGGACTTTAAATTCAAATCACCGTGAAAATTTATGTTTTGCGTAAATATAGAAAAAGTTTCTCTTCTTGCGATATTGAATCTGATCATTTCAATTTCTGCATTGCATTTATTTGGAATTAAAAAAAATATTCACCATCAATTTCATACACTTAAATTTCTTTTAACAATGTCCCAATTCAAAATTTCTTAATTTAATAAAAATAAAATTTGACTCACCAGCCTTGCTGAAAGAGTCCTGTAGGCCGTGCAGGTCATTCTCCTGAAGCCAGAGGTCTGCCTCTGTGTCCTGGCGGGCAGTTGCCTCTTCAACTTTGCCCTTGACGACCACCCACAGGAGACCAAGGACCAGAGTTATCAGCAGGGCCCACTCGGCAGCGTAGTGCTTCGGCCGAGTCCCTGACCTAGGTCTCGATAGTGACCTGCTGCTTGACAGCCGATGGTGCGTGTGAGGGTGGTGGTGATGGTGGTGGTGGTGCGGCATTGCTCCTCGCTCACGTTGCATTGCCCACACACTTGAACCCCTTTCCTGAATAAAAAAATACAAATAATTATAAACAATAAATTATTCGTAATTTGATTCTGGGTTAAAATTTTTGTGCATTTATATGTATTACTTTTTTTTTGCTTCAAAAATAGACTGAATATCATTTCAAGTAAGAAATATTAGCATTAACTACACGTTTTTTAATTATACAGATAAAAAATAATGTTTTAGGTCAACCACTTCCGACTTTAGAGATTAGAGATTTGATTATTTTACCTCAGATTCATTCTTGTTAATTGCAAATTATTTAATTTTTAAAAAATGATTATGGCATTAAAAATAAATTTTAGATTTACGTTTCTGCTTGCGTGGCTAAACATATAAAAAAACTAGGAAAATCTTCACCGCAAAAATTGCACACTGTGCAAAAAGAGCTGGACGAGCTTGGAATTGACAGCGCGATTTTTCACCTGCTAGATTTGCGCGAGGATCACGTCCCCCTCTCTTCTCACAGACTGGATCCGGACGACTCTCATTGCTAGTTCAACCTCCGCAGAACCTGAGGGCTTTTCAGACAAACGTCATGCAAGTCGGACGGAGGCTGCAGAAGACGGGATAGGATTGTTTTGGCTCAAGTTCGCGTGGCGCCCGCTCGTCTCGTGGCGTCACTACTCGCCCGAATCCAGTCCCTCTCCTCGACCAATCACGGCCCGATCTCCCCCACTTCCCCTCTCCGCGCTCTCGTAAATTTCCAGTTCAGCAAACGACGAGCTAGAAAGTAGTCGGAGAAACGCTGTTTATTTATGTCATTTCAGGTAATTTTCCGAGTTTTTCCCGTTTATATTTCCCAATTTCCCGTGCTTTACGTCTTCATTATTCCAATGAACGATTCTTTCAATTTGTGGTTTGCTTATTTTCATTGTAAAGTGCCCACTTACGGCGAACGCCGTTTGCGCTAAGTGTTTGGTTGACGTCGTTCGCCATCTTTAATGCACCGAGGTACCGAGGGTTCAAATTATCTCGAATCATCCGCTCCAGGGACGGCCTTTTTGCGTTAATTCACATTTTAATCCATCTTAACAAGATTTTTCTATGACTTTTTCGAAATAATTCGTCGATTCATTATAAACTCGACCCACTTCAGCCGTCCGAATTTCGTCTCTTCTAGGCTATACCAATATTATTTACATACACATACAATCGTCATTTCCCTAACGGTATGATTTTGCATATCAATCTTGCTATCGTGTCCGCTTTTGATTTTGCATTTGTGTTCTTTACGTGTCGTTATTAAACAGATGTTAAATTAGGATAATTCCGTCCAGAAGAATTTCTAAACAGGCTCAGCATTACGTTGCCTAGAGAGAGAGGAGCAATCTCTGTCCGAGGGAAAAGTAGTTCCCTGTCAATTGATGCGTATTATGATCTTTTCGTTTAAACATTTTTTCGGTATTTGTAACACAATTAATTTAATTCGCTTTCCCTACATACGTCACGCCACATGCCAGTTTGGCATTCGAATTCAGGAATTCTTATAAAGTAGCGACAAGACCTTTTTCTTTTAGATCAATGACATGCCAAATGTAATTAAATTTACTACGATTTCATGTCAAATGATATTTTTAATCCGCAAAATTCATTTCCTCTCATTCGAACTAGGCTTTTACCATTCGTAATGGGTAAAATTCTTAAGAATCCTAGCAATTCTTGCTTAAAATTTCTAGTTCGACGGTTTCTGCGGATGTCTAACAAGTCTGTGCAATAAATTTATTATCTGCAAATGGCATTTGGGCTGGCCTGAATGTTTCCCTGCATTTCTTGAATTCCCTGGATTCAAATAAAATTTCTCTCACTTGACTTTGTTCTGACCTTGGTTGCATTTTTATCTTTTGATTTCAGGGCATATACTGAAAACTCATCGCACCAATCGATCAGCAGCAGCGGTTTTGTCTTGCATTATCAAGTGGATGCACCACTTTCGATAACCACAGGAAGAACCTTTGCCATTTTATTTCTTCGTAGCCATCACCTGTCTTGGTGTTGTTTTTTTAAATCATTTTGATTCGGGCTATAGCATAGCCGCATCAACCAAAAGCTTCTCATGATGATGACGGAAACTCACTTGAACAGTACAAACCACACACTGAGCAAAATGTATGGTTTATCTTAATCATTCCGTATTTTCAACTAAGTTTTGCGCTTAATCAGGGATTCCGAAAAGATGGATGACCTTGGATGGAAATCAAAGCTCAAGATTCCTCCTAAGGATAAAAGAATTAAGACTAGTGTGAGTATTTATTAATAATTGTAGCCAAAAATCAAAATATTCATAGAATTATGACAACAAAAATCTAATTGTTGAAATTTTTATTGGCTTGGCTTATAAACGACCTTTATTTTAATTTAACAAATTACAAATTTCTTCAAACAGGACGTAACTGACACAAGAGGCAACGAGTTTGAAGAGTTTTGTTTGAAGCGAGAGCTGCTGATGGGTATCTTTGAAAAAGGTTGGGAAAAACCCTCCCCTATCCAAGAAGCCAGCATACCCATTGCACTGACTGGCAAAGATGTCCTCGCCAGGGCCAAGAACGGCACGGGAAAGACCGGTGCTTATTGCATCCCGGTTCTGGAAAATATCGACCCTAAAAAGGAGGTTATCCAAGGTGAGAAGCTCGTCCGCATTCACTCGAGATGCTTTGATTCTGTCTGCATGATGAGATAGATTCCCCCTCATCGCATTTCTCGATGACATATCCGATTCTGATAATCGAAAAAAATATTTTGCAATAGTTCACTGAACTTTCTAGCACAGCTGATATGAATCTATTTAATTATTCTTTTTACAGCCCTTGTGATTGTGCCAACGCGTGAGTTGGCTCTTCAGACTAGTCAGATTTGTATTGAGCTTGCTAAACACATGAATATTAAGGTCATGGTCACAACCGGTGGTACGAATTTGCGTGATGACATCATGAGAATCTTCCAGAAAGGTAAAATTAGCCATAAAGTATAATAAACAAAGTTTCAAGTATTTTGTTTTCAATTTTAGTACAAGTGGTCATTGCAACACCAGGGCGCATTTTGGATCTGATGGAGAAAAAGGTGGCAAACATGGACAATTGCAGAGTCCTCGTTTTAGATGAGGTATGTTTGAAACTTTTGCTTTTTAATTTTGAGATTAATTTTTTTATTGCAGGCTGACAAGCTGCTGTCGCAAGACTTCAAAGGAATGCTTGATACGGTTATTGCAAAGTTGCCCAAAGAAAGACAGATCCTTTTGTACTCGGCAACTTTCCCACTCACTGTCAAGAACTTCATGGATAAGCACCTGAAGAGCCCCTACGAGATCAACCTGATGGAGGAGTTGACACTAAAAGGAGTCACTCAGTACTATGCATTTGTCCAGGAAAGACAAAAAGTTCACTGTCTCAACACTTTGTTCTCCAAAGTGAGTCTGCCATTTATCTGTTTCTGTGACTAGCACCTGATCATTGATGTGGCAAAATTTAGATTTTGTCCTTTGAGAGGGTGCAAAATTGAAACGAAAATCCAAAGCTGCTGCAATGTCTTTGTAGTGGTCATTTCACCTTTCGTACAATTTCACACAAAATCTCGTTTGGGCAGTTATTAACTTAAGGTATTTTTTTTTTAGCTGCAAATCAACCAGAGTATAATCTTCTGCAACTCGACACAACGAGTGGAGCTTCTTGCCAAAAAGATTACGGAGCTCGGTTATTGTTGTTACTACATCCATGCCAAGATGGCACAAGCGCATCGCAACAGGGTGTTCCATGACTTCCGTGCTGGACTGTGCAGAAATTTGGTGTGCTCAGGTAAATCAATTTTTAGTTTTATCTGATGGTTGTCCATCATGATGCATTTTTAAGCAGTGAGGCTTCGTTCAATGATTTTCTGCTAGATAGTATCTGAATTTTTTTCAAGAGCCTCAATCCCAGATTTCTTATATTTATTGGTACTAAAATCTTTATTTTGCTCAACAGATCTTTTTACTCGAGGCATTGACGTGCAAGCAGTCAATGTTGTGATCAACTTTGATTTCCCCAAGATGGCTGAGACGTACCTGCACAGGATTGGCCGCTCTGGTAGATTCGGCCACCTTGGTATTGCCATCAATCTCATCACATATGAGGACCGCTTTGCTCTGCACAGAATCGAACAAGAACTTGGCACGGAGATCAAGCCCATACCTAAGGTAGACTTTAAAAATTTTGCAATTTTATAGAAGGTCTATAATCACATTTCTTTTTCAGGTTATTGATCCCTCTCTGTATGTGGCCAAGTTCGACTTTGGGGAAAACGAAGAAGGCACCACTACCAATGCTAGTTCATAAGAGACGGGCAGCAACCTTCCACAAACATCTACGAAACCTACCAATCATACACTCTGGATAAGTTAAAAAGTCCAACTCTGTTATTCAAAGAGAAAAGATACGGATACTGCAATAGGTGTACATACTTCAGTATTTGACGGAACACGATTCACTAAAACAATTCAAAATGACGATACTTAACCGTTCAAGCCACAAAACTCTTGTCATGATGAAATCAGATGGAAAAATTTTTATACACGCTAAACAAACCCACACATTTAATTTTATACATTGTCCGCAGAGAGGGCTTAAAAAATGAAAACATTCAAATTGCTGCTGTGGCTTGTTAATGGTACAACTTAGACTGTCTCTCATTGCACCAACTGCAATCTCACGCTTCAATTTCATGGTCAAGTTGTCGTGGGATGGATGCAGTCGAGCAACGTGTTAAATATAAGAAGCGAATGAATTTGGCTCGTGCTATTGCTGTTGGTGCAAAGAATTGTAAAACTGGTAGTTTTGTAAATTTATTTTTATATATAAAAAAAGGACAGCAACTCTTTGCAAATAGTAGATGGAGAAAAACTGCGGGGTTTTGAGAATGATTTGACACGTATTTATTATTTTGCATTTCGAAACAAACATCTCGAACTTAGTCCTTGGATCTCCACTTAAATATATGCCATTTGTTCTCCGCATCACTGGCAGTGTTCTGTTCTCGATAAGGAATTGCTGTCCTTTTCAAAGAGTGTATTTAATATACAAAATGTCTTTCTCCCAATGAGTGAACCAGCAAGTGTTAAAAAATGAATGATAAAAAACGTGTTGACGTGCAAAACGCACTTCTTGGGACAGTGATAGCGGACTGTTACCAGTCGCGGAGCTGCAGCCAGCCAGAAAACAAACGTGGATTTGCCTTCCAAGCAGCTCTAAGCTAACGAAGAGAGTGAGAGTGCGTTAAGACTGTCGATTATCAAATGAGGACTCCTGTTTTGTGCAAGGAGAAAATTCATCGGGCGCGTGTGCAGGGTGAATGCCGAGTGGGAGAATGCAAGTTAAAAAATTTACCATGTGATTGAACGGAGCGACCAATGTTAGATCCGGGTCTCAAGCTACCCTTGAAATCCAACCAGGGAGCTAGTCATGGGTCCATTGAAATTCCAGACGGGGAAAATATCGAGGTGCTCATGTGAAGTGATTGTTAAAGTTGCTGGTGACAGCACGAGGGAGGCATCAGTACCTGTAATTTCTCAAACAGAGATCCAAGGCAAAAATCAATTATTCAAGTATCCACTTGATACAAAAGAAAAAAAACTAAGCAGACGAAGAATTTTAAAAATCAGTTTATTGGCTGACATTATTGCTTTTTCTTTACCGGCCTAAATGTTGCGCTGGAACAAAATTTGATCGTGTGTGTGGCCCTACACGATTGAAAGTTAAACATATTGTATTTTTTTTTTTTATTGGAATTTTCTTATTATTCAAAAGTTGTTCGAAAAACACCAAAAATCAAAATTAGGGCCACTGGGGGTGCAATTTGTTGGGAGGGACTGATTTTCAAATCAAAATTGTCTTTTGAAGTCTCGGAACCATATCAGTTGAAAAGATACCATTTGGCTACATTCCAAGTTATGTATTTCAGGAAACTGAAAAAAAAATTGAAAAAAATCGCTCCTATGCGAAGAGCAATTAATAATTAAACATACATTTTTATTTTCTATCGAAATTGGTTTAGGAAATTTGAATTGTATCTTATTCCTCACATTTGACATTTATTTGAATTGAAATTGACGCAGATGTGGCGCTCAACTGAAAAAATATTTAAATTTATATACAAGAAAATACAGAAGTCATCATGTATCATCCTTAATATTTGGTTATCAAAATAAATCATTGCTCTTTACATAAGACCAACAAAACTTGAATTTTATTTAAATTTATTACGATGTAATTCATGTACTTAATTCTGTGTGCAGGGCGCGAGTTTATTTAATTACTATCTTTTATTTCGAGATGGAAAATGCATTTTTATCCATTCAAATATAAGTATTTAAATTTAAATAATAAAATAAAACTAGTTTCATGGGACATATCCATTGATTTACTAGACTAATCTAGTAACAACAATTGTTACTAAATTATTAGGTCCATGTACACATCACAGAAATTTAAATATCCGCACCGCTAAGCTCCACACAAGAAGGCTCCACACAAATCTCGTCTAATACAAGGTCTAATATTAATCACGTTGACCATCATTCCAAAAAACATTGTATTAATTATTCAGGGTTAAATAAGTGAACTAGTAGATTGGTTATTTAAAAATTTGTTTTTTAAAAATCTTTTTCCCTATTCAGAAAATTACACATAAATTTTCTGTGGGTTTATACATTTTTGTGCCGCTTTATTTTAAGCGATTTGAAGTTTGCTACGTTGGCAGCACTGGTAACTAGGAATGGAATGATCCACTATCCACTCACTGCTGTTCACGCGAGTTTTGCAAGCGCAGTTTTGTCAAATTCTGCTTGTAATTTGTTGATTCTCGATAACAAAAGACAATTCATCGGGCAACAAGTTAATAAAGGTTTGTTATTAATATGTAAATTGCTCTTGAAAGCTGAAAACGCTCGGATAGTCCGTATGTCTGGTAAAAAGAGCAGAGATTTATCGATTTGTGGTTCTGTTTTTGAGACCCTGATTAAGCTTAATTCTGTGCTGGAAAATGGCCTATGCATATAAAATCGACTCAATCTGGAGTTTAATTCATTAGCTGCAAAACGGAATGAACCTTGCTTCAATAATATTCACGACTACTGAATCTTTGAATTTTTATGCCAAGCTGTTTTTTGTTTACAATATGAGTACTGCACTTGTTTACACTGCATTTACTTTCCTGTGTGTATCGGTTAAATGATAAGACCTTGTACCCAATTCAATTAGAGGATAGGTTTTTTGTGCCGATTCACCCACTTTATTGAATTAGGCATGTTAATTAAAATAAAAACTTCATATTTTTCGTCTATTTAATTTTTACAGCGATCAACAATATGGGCAATGCCTCTTCAAGCAGCAGCTCAAGGGAGAGACACAAGTCTGGAGACAGCCTTCCTCCTTGCTCACCAGGCAAAATCGATGGGCACGCATTCACCTTTGACAAAAAGCCGCTCAATCGAATCCAGATCGCACAGCAGCACTCGAATGATGACGAGGCGCCGTACTTCACAAAGCCATCGCCAGCCTCTTCACACCCACAGGCAGAGCTTTTTACTAGGAATATGTCAAAATTTAATTGCATATTTTTCAATAGGATCCAGAGTTCCAGATGGAAACCAGACAGAGATCGGCAACTGTTTCGGAAGGCTCGAAAGTAAACAAAAACAAAAAAGTATTGCCGACTGTTTTCAAATGGGAAGGAGGAGGAAAGCAAGTCTACGTTAGTGGTACCTTCTCTAACTGGAAAACATTGCCAATGGTCAAAAGGTTTGCAATAAGATGAGATCCAAAATAATTTCTAATGATGAAAATTCACCAGTCAAGGGGACTTTGTTACAATTGTCGATCTTCCCGAGGGAGAGCACGAGTACAAATTCCTAGTTGATGGCGAGTGGAAACATGATTCTGGAAAAGTAAGTTTTTTTCTATTGCAATTGTACAATGTGTCCAACCTAAAATTTCCAGACCATCACCAACACCAAAGAAGGTAGCAAGACCAACATGGTGTCTGTAAAACAATCAGATTTTGAAGTTTTCCAAGCTCTGGCAATTGATTGTGAAGCTTCGGAAGCACAAATGCAACGTAATTTGATATTTTTGCTTCTATTTTTAATAACTGACTGAATTTTGCATTATTGACAGATGAATATTCTCAAGAAATTCCTGTTAATAAACCGTGGGAAAAAGTGCCATCGCCACCAGTTCTGCCACCTCACCTTCTTCAGGTTATTCTCAACAAGGACACTCCACTCTCGGTGAGTTTTGAAGCAAATTTTTGGTTTATTTGATCTATTCTAAACAGAAAGTTTATTCATGGTGATTTGAATTTAAATTCGGCTTTTCCTGGATGGGCTTTTGTGAGTTTTTATTGCTCAAGAAAAAACAATATCCTGCTTTTTTCTTAAACAATAAAATCTCACAAAAACCCATCGAGGTAAAGCCGAATATAAATTCAAATCACCATGAATCAACCCTCGATCGTAAACTTCTACTACAGAAAATTTATGCTCTAATATTAAAAAGAAAAAAATTATTATATAAAGAATTTATTTTAAAAATAAAATTTTATTCATTCAATTTTGTCTAATCCAACTCACTTGTAAATATAGTGTGAACCGACTCTGCTTCCTGAACCAAATCATGTGATGCTTAACCATCTGTACGCCCTGTCGATTAAGGACGGCGTCATGGTACTCAGTGCCACCCACCGCTACCGCAAGAAATACGTCACCACTCTACTCTACAAACCAATCTGACTTTAATGACTGGGAAAAAGTGTTAAATTGTTGATAATTTTTTTTTGTTGCATTGCCATTATAATTTTTAATCCACTCGACAATTTTGTAACACTCAAGTATCATCCGGGGATGATAATATATTTCAAAATTAATATTAGCGGGTCTTATCTGCAGCAAGTGCAATTACAAAGAAGTGGTGTCTGTAAACTCCAAGATTAAATTTGTGTTATTTTACGAATAGTTTGCGTTGACATTTTTGCTTCAAACACGCAGTTATGTTATCTCTTCTTGTAAACCCTTAGGGTGTAGTCTTGTTAAAGTGATTTATTTAATTGGTTATAATCTCTGAAATAGAGTTCCAAGAAAATCTCATGTTCTGCATTAGCCAAGAAAATGTATATTTTTAAAGTAATAAAAAAAATGTTTCTGTCAGAAATATTCAGTATTGCTATTTTGGGGTTCATGAGAATTATAAAATTAAAGTGCATAAATAAACCGCTCAATTGCGAGCAGAAAAAAAATGTTAGAAATTTCTCTTGTGAATTCACAGAATTTGAGCAAATATTCATGATGTTTTATGAACTTTGATGACTTTTAGCGCTTTTAGAATGCAAAACATTTAATATATTCGGAAGACATCAAATTTACAGAATTTCTGTCAATGCATGCTTGCCTTCTTATACTTGCTTGACTTTATTCCCACTAAAGAAAATTCTGCTTTATTTCTGGCCTCCGCACCGAAGGTGCGCTCACTCCGTGAGAAACTGCAAATGAGAGGAGACTAGTTTAGCTGTTGATCCTCCTGAATCTTGTGATTGTTAAGGTAATTGTTGAATTCTTGTTTTTAAATTGTTAAACTAATTAACTGTTGAAATATTTCCAAAGATGGAAGACTGTGAAAACTCTGTGTCTGAAGAGGTCAGCAAAATCTCTGTGCCTGAAAAGACAGAGAGAATTCTGCACGACGATCACTCCCCTGAAATTTGCGCCATGACCGTCAACCTTGTCTTCGGCCGCAATGAGCGTCTTCGGGAGCAGGTTATTGAGCTGATAGACAAAAACCAGGACCTCACCAATGAGCGCCGCCAATTGAAAAAGGAAAAGATGGTTATGGAGATGTCCTGCAAGAAGAGCAAAGTGGAAATGTCTGAAATGCAGAAAAAACTTGAGGCTGCTCTAGATGATGCCAAAGGGCTGCGGAAACACTTGGATGATGCCATCAAGAACAAGCTGGACGCCAGTGTCCTTGAAATGGAAATGCAGGCCGAGTTGGACGAAATGAAGAGGCAGAGGATGGAAATGCAGAAAACGCTAGAGACCTCCACTCAGATTCAGCAGGAGCTAAAAATGCAGCTGGAAAAGGCGAATGCCAGCAACGGCGCCCTGGCCGATAGGATTGTGACTTTGCAGACAGAAAACAGCGAGTTTGAAAAAGTTGTCGAAAACCTGAGAAGCCGCCTGATTGAAACTACTGAAAATTGCGAGAGGTTGAATGAAAGGATTTCCATGATTGAGCATGATGTGACAAATAGGGAGGAAAACGTGAACATAAAGTAACAAATTAAATCAATTAAGATTAATTTTTAATTTTTTTTAATTCTAATATTTAGAGAACAAGAACTTCAGAATTTGAACGAGTGGCTTCAGCAGCAAAATATAGATCTTGAGGAGCAGAAAACAGCCATGGGATTGTGGGAGGAGGAAAAGCAATTGATCGAGCGTGAAATGAATCGTTTGCGAGAGTGCAACCGCAACATGCGATATGAGCTGAGCCACCCAAAAAACAAACCAGAGCAAAGCAGCCTGAAGGCTGAGCTGAACCGCTACAAAGCTGTAAGTATTTGGGAAATTCTCAAAATAACAAACTAAATTAAATTTTAATGAGAAGACGGAGGAGGAGCTTCGAAGGCAGCTTTTCAAGTCAAACACTGAACTTATTGAGCTTCAGAAGGTTTTGAAGGCGCACAATGTGACGGCCAACAAGAGGAAGACTTTGTATCTGCCAACTGTTGCTTCCCTGAAGAAAACATAGTCTGTAAAAAATGAGATGAGGATGATGAAAACTGATTACCCTATTTGTAGTTTATAAGTTAATGACTTTATAAGTTAAGAGTTTATATTTATTTTAAAGCCTTTCCAAAACAGAATAATTACAGAAAATTTTTAATAAACAAACAAGAATACATACAAGCAATATTTTGTCTGCCATTTATTTAAAACTGAAAACTTTCAATTCAATTTGCCCAATTCAAAAATAATGCAGGGTTGCCTACTCATGCATGGTTTTTGCAGGCGGTGTTCAAGATGGAATATCTCACTTTTGAATGGACAATAATTATAGCCAGAAAATATCTATATCCATAAATTATTGGATTCTTCCTCTTTTTTAGGAATTGTTTTAAATCGTGTAGAAATTCTTTATTTTTTTAACATTTCAATAATTTCTCATAAATGAATGAATCGGGCTTTAATCCTCAATCCTTACAGAGAAATTGTTTTTCAATAAAAAAAAAAAAAAAAAAAAAAAAAAAAATGGCTTTACCAGATTCGGTCAATGAGCAAGAAAAATAAAACAACATTTTTTTTAATATAAAACAATTTCAGCAACGAGGAAAAAGCCCGATTCATACTTCATTCATTTCTATGATCATCTCCTTCCTTGAGTGTCCTATTTAAGTTCTCTTTCGCGCCTTTTATAATGAGTTAATTATATATTTTTATTTAAATGAGGATTTTTATTATCTATTAATATTATGAAACTGATCTAAAAATGTAAAATAGGTAGCAAAGTTAAAGAATTCACTCATTGCGAAACTTGCATTGGTTGCTAGGGAAGGGATTGGCGCCACCGCCACACAGCAACTGCAGGGGCGGCCAGCAGGTGTTTCAGTCTCTTGGCATTCAGAATTCTTGATTCTTGGCATCGATATGTCGGTTAGGTACGTATTTTCCTTCAAATTCAAAATATCAGTAAAAACTGGAAAATTACCGCTATTTTTGCCGGTATTTGCCAAAATTATTGATATACCGATTATTTGGGTTGCCAAAAATAACGGTATTTCGGTCTATCGATATTAAATTTGAAATTTGAATTCGTTGTTGAGATTTGAGAATATTCCAAAAGAATTCTCATCACGAATCACGATGTCTCTTCTAATTGGCCTGGTTGCGCGCAGCAGGAGCGGCAAACAAGGCTCTCTGATGTTAAAGGACGTTGCAAATTCGGTGGTGACGCACCTGCAGGGTGCCGGGGGCGGTGGCGGCGGCCCAGCCGCCTCCGGATGCTGCAACGCCCTGCACCTGAGCGTGGACAACGCCAGGTTTGTGCTTCTGGCCGTGGTTCTTCTGCTCTACATGGTGGCCGGCGCGGCGCTCTTCCAGTTCCTCGAGCAGGACACCGAGCTGGCCATGGTGCAAAAGTTCTGGGACGTCTACTCGGACTTCCAGCGACGAATTAATGGCCAACGAATCCTCGCCAAGGGTGGACATGGGACTTTTCCACGAATTCGCAGGCAGTTTCCAATTCGTTGGGACCATCGTTTCCACGATTGGGTGAGTGATTTTAAAATATTTGAACATTTGATCTATGATGATTTTTCTTAAATATTTTTCATCCTCTAACTGCCTCTAGCCAAAAAGAACATGTGAAAATCGTTGGCTATTTATTAATTTATTTAAATGAAAACACTAATTATATTTTATGAATTAACTTTCTTAACGTAAGATATACATAATTTAAGTGTCACACAGCAATTATTCTTTAGTATATTTACTAATGAATAAATGCACCATTTTTTTATGTAAAAGATTTTTTAATTTAAATTTGAAAGTTTTTGGCAGCATAATAAGTGGTCAAAACTTCTACAGTAAAAATTAAATTAGCTTAACAATCAAATTGTATAATAATATGGGTTGTATTTATTGCATATAATGCAACATTTTTGTATTGTTGGTCATTTGAGACAGTTTGACAGTTGAGATTTTGAATCTCATTCCAACTTGAAAGTTGGAATTTGAATTGTTGATCAAATTTGAAGAAATAATTCTTGTTTTTAAATTCGCCTTGTATAGACTAACCAGCAACTTCAGCTGCGCTGCTTGCTGTTCCTGAAGTCAACATTGAGAACCTGCAAGAGAGATACGTACGGCAAATAAAGCTGCTGAATACTGGAACCAAATTGATGATCCGTCTTCTGAGTTGGAGGTATATATTAATTAAAATTTTGACTATCAGCACTTTTTTTATGAAATTTTTATGAAATAGGCTTTTAACAAAAGATGAAGAAGTGTTGTTGGAATTAGACCCTATACAAAATTCCCACTCCTCCGTTCTGGCACCGAAATGTTTGAGCCTCAATTTTTGCTGTGGTTAAACAGTAAGAACTTTTACGAACGACGAGAAGTCTAGTTCAATGGTATAATTCTTTGCTTGAAAGGTTCCCTTATTTGTCTCTAAATTTATGCAATTGCAGGTCCACTTGCGGAACTTGATTCTTCAAGAGTGCAATACGAAGTTGGCAATTTCAAGAATAATTTTGTCAAAAGTTTGCAATGTATTGGTTGATTATCCGAGAATTGCAACAAATTGCCAAAGACATTCTCCAAAATATCAGCTCTTTGAAGGGCCCGATGAGGCTCTTTGGACGTCATGTGCAACAAGGCGATGCGATCTCGACATTGGACCAAAGTATAGGCTGCATTATAAGTGTAAAATTTAAATATAAATTGAATTTTAAATAGATGGCGAAAAAAATTAGAAATGAAAGTGATTTGGAGCAGCTGGCTTCATTGCAAGCGAGCATCGATTTTGGTCTTGTTCATCATCTCAAAACAAATGAAAGATATTTCTATTGTGGCTATACAAATGAGTTTGAGGACAAGCAGAATCTTGATGCCAGGAGTGGAAGGATGTTCAATTTGAACTCAACTACTACAAGTAATATGCTATTTTCTTACCTGATTTTACAAGGAGGCCTCCCCCCATCTGTCCGCCTCCGATTCGGTTGAAATTGGTACACGAGATGGGCAGGGGTGAATATAGAACTACTGCAGCCAAATTTTGTGCATATGGCCCTTTTTGGCCCCATTTCTGGGGGTCTTTTTCTTTCGATATAGGCATCCCGCGAATCCTGTTTGTCAAGAAATTGCCTAGATTAGCCCATTTAAGGTGTTTTATGCAAAATCTTGACAGACAGGACCCGCGGGTGGCCTACCTTAAAACTTTTGGACGCCTGTAGAGCGGCCAAAAGGGGCTATTTTAGCACAAAATTCTGCCAAAACTGGTCGGTACTCGTCTTTACCTAGCTCTAGTAACAGTGTCATCAAAATCGGAGGCGGACACTTGAGGTGGGTTCCTGGTTAGTTGAATTATATATTTTGAAGTTTTTCAATTTTCTTATAATGAAAGAGAGCACACTAATTTTTATAACAATTTTTATTTTTGCAGAGACACGAGTTAAGATTTTGTCATCAAATTGATTGTAATTGACGTGAATTCCAAAGACATGGTCGATCTGCTAAATCGAAGAAGGCGCCCCCAGTGTCGACAGCTTTGTGTAGCTCAGTCAACTGCGCTACAACACGTGAATGAAAATATCCGAGTGAGGATGTGCCTTCCGGTTGCAAATACCTCGCCTGGTCATCACTCCTCTCACTGACAGATGCTATCGCACTCTCACGTGCGCTGTGGACCTGTACCTTGGGGGTTCCCCTGAGGGTCCGGCTGGAAGGGGTAAAACAGAGACTTCGGAGGATTTGGCCAATAGCATTGCGCGGTCTTCAACTGCTCCGACCAGCTAGATCACGCTGCCATGGGAAAATTTTTCAAGGTTAGTGCAAAATATTCCATTTTATTTCATCATTATTGTTTCTCTTTAATCAGGGAATTTCCAAAATGTGGATCGTGGGCTTGCTTGAAGAGTTCAATCGCGTTTAGTTGGAAGTGCATTCCTTGGTTGCAGCCCAAATTCAAATGATCCAAGAGGCCAAGATGAAGCAGCTGGACTATGTTTGATGTTGAAGGCAGCAAAATTAAACTGAATCCATCCTGCCAGGCTATTATCACCATGAACCCGGGGTAATTTTATGGATTATGCAAAATTAGTCATTAAACCAAATCTTGTCCTTCAATATATAGCTATGCCGGTCGTCAAGAGCTTCCTGATAACTTGAAGTGCCTTTTTTGACCTGTTGCAATGATGGTTCCTGATTACGCTTTGATTGGTGAACTGTCACTTTACTCAAGAGGATTCAAGAATGCTAGACCGTAATTCTTTCTAATTTTTCTTTGAGCTCTTTATTTATAAAAAAATTTACAAATTGCAGGCTTGCTGTGAAAATTGTCCAGATCGACTTACAAACTTTGCTCCGAGCAGCTTTCCTCGCAGCCCCACTACGATTATGGTATGAGAGCTGTCAAGTCGGTCCTAACTGCAGCTGGCAACTTGAAGCTTGACGACACGTCAGAGCTTGGAAGATGAATCCAAAGTCCTCCGAGCCATCATTGATGTGAACAAGCCAAAGTTTTTGGCCAAGGACATGTACCTCTTTTTGAGGGTATCACTGCTGATTTGTTCCCGGGTTTCGATCTGCCTCTGCCAGACAGGGGAGAGCTAATTGAGGCACTTTTGGTGGAGCTGAAGGAGCGGAATTAACCTTCAAGCTACCGACTGGAATACGGAAAAGCTGATTTAGATATTTGAAATGATTCTGGTTAGGCACGGCCTTATGCTGGTCGGACCACCATCTGGGAGGAATTGCAGTGCCATTAAGGTAATTAAGTTTTAGATTTAATTCAATTTTTTCTACTTGAGTATTTTTTTAGAGCCTCTGCACTGCCCTGATCAGGATTTCTAAAAATCCTGACAAGAAGATGGACGAGAGTGGTGTCACCGCATTATCAGCACCAAGTCAATCACCAGTGACCAATTGTATGGATTTGTTGACCCAGTCTCTCAAGAGTGGCATGATGGTAATTTTACTTTTTTATATCTGATATGATTGAATAAAAATGACATTTTTATTAGGTGTTTTGGCAAACACTTTCCGTGACTACGCAAGATCAGAGGAGCCTGAGAGGAAGTGGATCATTCTCGATGGACCCGAGGATGCTGTTTGGGCTGAGAATTTGAACACAGTCCTAGACGACAATAAGAAACTTTGCCTTTCGTCTGGAGAAGTTGTTCAGGTATATTTCCCAATACGCTCTCCGGTTTTTCATCCCACACTCTACTTAACATTCAATAAAAGCCCCGGACTGGGAAATCAGGCGCACCGGGCACAAGCCCCGTGGGCCGCCAAAAAGGTCTCGAAGCAGCCTTCGGGCTGCGGCAAAAGCGCACGGGCCATGAAGCAGGCCGCGCTTTCTGAGCTTCCGATGTGCGCCGCTTGTGTCGGGCCCCGCGGCCCTGAAGGGCCCTCAGTCCAAGCAAATGGGTTATTAAGGGGCTGTCAGCCCATGAAAATGAAAAAATTCGATTTTGGCGCGAGCGAAGCGAGTGATTTTTGCCTTGGGTCTTTCCACGATCCTGTGCGCACTCTGATTGGTTCTTATTATTATTATTATTATTATTATTATTGTTCTTCTCAAGTCATACATGCAAAAAATTGATTTGGAAAAAATGAGCAGAAAAGGTATCACAACAGAGGTCTGCTAAAACGCCCGACATTAAAAAGAGATCAGCCACCGTGTGAACCCACACAATTGCGAAGCCGGCGCACAAAATTGGGCCGTTTAGTTAGCGTGGGCCGCCTATTTTGACGTTTTCTCCTAAATTTGAATCAAGTGTTCTTTAAACAAGGTGGTCCAAGGCCAGTAAATTTTAGTTCAATTGATGGTAAGAAGCGGGGCACTGCATTTGAATTTCCGCTTTTATTAATCAATTGCCAAGGATTGGCTTCTGCCAATAAATTAACTAATATGTTTATTACTTGCGAGATTTGAAAATAAGACCAAGATTTTAATGATTGAGACTTGGCTGAATAATTTTTAAGTAACAAAGCTCCAATTGTTAGATTATAAATTGGTGGCTGGATTTGGTAGGAAAGACCATTTAAGGGGTGGCTGCAGTTTTGATTCAGAAAAATTGTGAATTTGAGAAAATTGATAAACTGTGAGGAATTTTGTTTTGAGGCTGCAGCTGCGCTTTTTAATTTTGGTACTATTAAAATTTGCTCATTAGTTGTCTACAGGCCGTCCATCCCAGTGAGAGTAATCAGCGAATGGATGTTTTCTTTGATTTTAAGGGACAAAAAGCTTTGGTTAAAATAATGTCTTTAATTAAATAGAAAAAAATCACTCGGATTATAGTGGGAGGGGACTTTAACATTGATTTAAACCAGAGGACTGCGGAGAGCATGAGGCTTTGTACAAACGTTTGAAAAGTATGAGTTGTGTTTATGAAATAATGTTGATTTGGCTACAAGGGTTTGTGGAAAAAGTGCGACTTTACTTAATTTGATTTTTTGTGGGCCTGGACAATTAGGAGAGTTTCATGTCCAAGTACTGTCAAATAACATCTCATTGTCAGATCACGAAAATGTTTTTGCTTTTCAATGAATTTTGATATTCCGCAAGAGCGAGATCGTTTCCTTGATTATTGTGATTTCAATGAAGGCAGCATCAACAGTTTTATTCTCGGTACTTGGATAATCAGAATGCTCAAGTGGCACTGACTGAAGGTGTAGATATGAAATATTGTTTTTTCTTTGAGATATTTATCCGGGCCAATCAAAAGAATAATGTCATCTTATCGGACGCAGTTGAGAATAGAAGGCGTGAATTCTTTCAGCTGAATAAAGATATATAAAGCAATTAGCAATTTACACTACAACATCCGTTGAGTAAAGAGTATAAAAGACTGAAATATGAATATTCAAAATTGTTGCAAGCGGAAATTCTGCGTGCTAATTGTGCCTTCCTTGAGGAGGCTCAGAATAGGACTGTTGCTGCGTGGTGTTTATTAAATCAGACTTTGGGTAATGATAAAGTGCATGACAGGAGTCACGTCATGCGAGTGGACGGTGACATTGTTTCAAATGTAGCTCAGATTGCTGATGCGATGAATGATAATTTCATTGTGCCCGAGCCTATTTCTAGTTTGCCTACATTTTCATATGTGCTATAGAGAATTGCTTTCTCCGACAGTGGCTTGATCGTGGTTACTGGTTCGACTTTGACACAACAAGTTTCCATCGAATCCCTCCTATAGAAATTAAGAATCAAGTTGCTGCTCAACTCTGGTGACATTCCCAACCGCTGTACAGGTCTGAAGATAAGGGCATGATTCTTGACAAGGTAAGCACGCCAAAGACTTCGTCAATTTGTTCATCGAAAAAGGCGTCTCCAGCGTTGAAAGCTTTGTGTGGCTCAGCCAACTGCGCTACTACATGGTTAACGACGATATCCGGCAGAGGATGGCTGGTGAAGCTCCTAAAAGAATAAGGAAATTAATCGATGAATGTGGAGCCAAATTTGTTGCGGAACGCTGTGGCAGCCGAATTACCGTTGAAGAAGGGTACTTTCCAGGATGCGTCGGAACTACTCGACCACTTGATCCGAGCATGGTCCACAGTGAACGGCTGGCGTAGCACTTTCGAGCTGTTCTGTTACACGGTTGTACCTGTTTGCACCTGGTTGGTTTATTTATCAAAATAAAAGAAATAAATTAAAATGTTTATTTAGGTGCTCAAAACCAACTGGCGAGAGAGATGAGGACGGTGTTTCGCTGACCCTTTCAACAAGTGGTGTTGGACAAAACGTCACACGCTGGATAAACTCATCAGCCATTGTCTTGCCAAGAAGAAACCTCATTGCCCTGGGCACAGGCGTCCAAAAGTGTCAACGATGTTCATAATTCCGCCAAGGTATTTTTTTTCCAAGCTATTTTCGTATTACACGTAGTATAATATTTTGCAGCGTCTTGTTCATGAGACTAGTACGCCAAGGTAAAGATGCCCAGGTTCAAGTGAAGCTTCCAGGTATCTTGAACATGGATGTCTATGACTTGTAAGTCATTAAGATTTTCATAATTTTTTTTCTTGAATCAAATGCTTATTAATTTCAGCAATGGTATCAGCGTGGCACAGTACGAGTTTTGTGCTGCGATGTGCCACTTTCCCGGCCATTGGTACGCAATTCGAAAAACAGAGAGCGGATCATGGTATTTTATAAGCGACGGTACAGTGGAAAAACTCACTGAGGAGCTGAAGGAAAAAGCGGAGAAGGAGGCTATGATACTGCTGTATCAAATCAGTAATATTTTTATTAACTAAGTCAATAATCTTTAATTTTTTTAATATCTTGTAGAGAGTCTACGCCCAAACTTTAAAGATGCTGGGGTGCAGACGGACAATCCAGAAATAGAGCCGCAGATTGAGTTTCATGTCGGAGTCCAACCTGCCGAGTACGTGCCTGCCGATGAAGAAAGAGAAGAAAGAAAAAGCATTGGCGGTTGTCAGTAAGTATTATTGTTAACAATTTATTTTTGTTATTTTTTCATTGTTTTGAGTAAAAAGCAATTTTCAATTTCATTTTACATTTTTTTTATGTTGTTAAGCATTATTTTGTTGTAGCACTAGGAAGGAGAAGGTCAGCTTCAACAACGTCATCAAGCCGGCCGACGCCAAAGCGGAGGTGTGGAAAAGCACCTTTAGACTCTTCAGCCTTTTGCTGATACCCATTTGCTCATGGTTAGTTTTTTGTCAAATTTTAGAATCACATTAAAATAGTTATTTAGGTGTTTTTCGTCAACGGGAGGTGAAACTGAGGAGGGAACCTCTATTAACCTGAACACGGTCACCCTAGCCAGGAACGTAAAAATAAGCAGATTGCTGAAAATTCACCTTGAAAAAAATGTCCTCCACTGCCGAGAACACAGAAGACCTAAAGTGGCATTGCAATTTTTGGTTCCTCCCAGGTATTTTTTTTCCTTTTTTTTTTTCAAATAATTTTGGTATTAAATAATTTTTTGCAGTGTGCTGTTGCTGAGGCTTGTGCGCGATGGCCAGAATGCTGTCCAAGTTGAATTTGAAGATAGCATTCTTATGGAAGTATTCGATGGGTAACTCATTTTTTATTTTTTTCATAAAACATTTTCTAAAAACAAACGTTTACTTATTTCAGCCACGATGCTGTCCCAGTGCAGTATAATTTTGTCTCTGCAATGTGCTATTACCCAAAACACTGGTACACCATCAGAAGATCCGAGAATGGCAAATGGCTCGCTATGAGTGATGCCATGGTTTCGGAATTAACTGAGGCGACGAAGGCAAGAGCTGAAAAAGAGGCGATGATGCTCTTTTTTCAAAGTAATATTTGTATTACCTAGAGTGTCAAAAATCTTTAATTTTTATATCTTGTAGGGAGTTCCAAAGCCACAGATGGAAAGTTCAAGGATGTGGCAGTACAGACGGACGAGAAGCAAGAAGAGCCACAGCCCATGCCAAGTTCCTGACTCCTGGCTTCTCAGTCCCAATCTGCGGATCAAGATGGAGAAGAAAGAAAGTCTCCTGGGGGTATTCAGTGAGTATCAGATTTTTGTTCCATTTTTGTTTTTTGTATAGAGAAAAGAGCAATTTTCAATTTTGAATTTTCTTTATTTTGTTATTTTTGGTAAGTGGAAATTGTTTTTTTTTCTCACATAAAACTTGTTTATATTATGGCTTTTGGGGTTAATGATTAATTGTTTACAAACTGCTGAGTCTTTTATTGTTGCACTTAACTCATCACTTGTTAATTTGTAAACAACCAAATACTCATTCCCACCTTTGTCCCTAGGTTCCAATTCCGGTGACCTCCGATTGACTCGAGAGCTTCCGTCTGTCCGACACCCAGTCAATTGCCAGGCCATCTCCGTGACCGACCACCAGCTCTCTCCCGGGGACCTGTCCGGCACCATCCGAGCTGAAACCTCAAGAGAGCTTCCCACCAGCCCCGTCTCCCATGATCTTTCTTCATTGTTTTTCCCCATTAAATTAAAAGAATATTCTGCAATTAGAATTGTTATCTTATAGGGAATATAACCCAGCCAAACAGCAGTTAAACTAAGTCGTTTAATTCCTTTTCTCCCAATTTAAATTAAAATATAACTGATCAGAATGAAAAATTGAAAAAGGGTAAGTGCTTAAATTATAACATCCTCTTGCCTGTAATCTTTTTATCAATCAATACAATATTTTATTAGACACAAGTGTATACAACATACAAAAATGGTAGTACAGTTACGTATACATTATTTATACAATAATTTACTTTTTAATAATTTTCCAAGCAACTTCTAACAGGCTTATTTTATTTACACTGCATTCAAACATATGATACAATCCACTATACATTCGCATTTTTCGCATATACATTCGTTATTTCGTTCATACAGCGGCCAAGTGGACAAATTGAAATTGAGACGTTTGGTCAGTGGTCAGTTTGAAATTTTCAATATCAACGATTGGTCATTTCACGATTTACAGGCAAGTGTGTTCTAATCAAGAAAAACAGTGTTATTTGTGTGTCAACCGGAAAGTGATTTTTGAGAGCGTCTAAGAAATGGAAATTTTGAGATTTCAAGGGTGGTCAGTCATGAAATCAGTTGATTTAATTTATATTTATACGCTAAAAGTGTAGGAAAAATCCGGATTTCCCGGAAAAGTGAGATATAAGGAGGTTTGACAAAAATTCATATCTCAGCTTCTAATTGAGATCAATTCAAAAATTTAAAGCGAAAATGCAGCTCAAGATATGCCCTTTCTTGGGGATGGGTAGGGATAATTTTCAAGGCCATGTTTCTTAATGAGGATGAGGTGAAATAAATTGAGGGGTTGTAAAACAGATGTTATGCGACTTGCAGAACGTTGGAAAAAATACAAAGAAACCTCATCATATGAGACAATTTGCATTGCGGATCGGGGTTGCTAGGGAAGGGGTTGGCGCCGCCGCCACACAGCAGGGGCGGCCAACACGTGGAGAGAGGCGCTCACTGCGTTCAGTCTCTTCTTGGCCTGGGTGCGCGCAGCAGGAGCGGCAAACAAGGCTCTCTGATGTAAAGGACGTTGCGCCACATTCGGTATGGTGACGCACCTGCAAGGTGCCGGGGGCGGTGGCGGCGGCCCGGCCGCCTCCGGATGCTGCAACGCCCTGCACCTGAGCGAGGACAACGCCAGGTTTGTGCTTCTGGCCGTGGTTCTTCTGCTCTACATGGTGGCCGGCGCGGCGCTCTTCCAGTTCCTCGAGCAGGACACCGAGCTGGCCATGGTGCAAAAGTTCTGGGACGTCTACTCGGACTTCCAGCGACGAATGGCCAACGAGTCCTCGCCAAGGGTGGACATGGGACTTGTCCACGAGTTGCTGTACGCGTACGGCAACGCCAGTGCCGTCGGCCTTGTTCACAAGAGGCGCAGGTGGGACTTCGCAGGCAGTTTCCACTTCGTTGGGACCATTGTTTCAACGATTGGTGAGTAATTATCTGAAATTTCTCATTTAATCTCAAATTTTTCTTATATTTTTCATCCTCTAACCACAAGATCATGAAAAATCGTTAGCAGTTTATTTATTTATTAAATAAAATAACTTTCTTAACGTGAGACATAACATGTAATTACTTTTACCACATCAATTATTCTTTAGTATGTTTAAATAAAACTTTTTAATAAAAATATTAAAAAGACTAAATTGTTAAAATTTATATTTTTTTTTTAAATTTTAATGTTGAGAATACTTTAATTGTAATATCAATTTAAATTTTATAAAAATTGTTCAAACCTTTACAAAATTATATGATAATTTGTTATTACTTGGTGAAATAAATTTCACATTTTTTATGAAGGTTGCATAGAACAAAAACTAAATTTACAGTATATAATTAAGTATATATCATGAAGATTGAAAGTTCCATATATTTTATTTTAATTTATGTCGAAAGAAATGGTCAAAAGAAAAAAATGTCATGGAACCTGTAAAAATATTAAAAATTGGTTGATATATAATTTCCTGAAATAAGACGTTGGTATATTGTCAAAATTTTGACAGGGAGCAGATTAACCAACGCTTCGGACATTTTTAGTGTTCCACGTGAAATAAATCAATCTTTAATGTGGTGCGCTGACTTTGAAATCCACCATCCACTACTTAATCACGCCAGTTGTCAGTTTTGCGCTTTATGAGAGACCAGAAGGATAAAACGGATGGTTTTATTGAAGGAGCGTTGACAAAGTTAAAAAATATCCAAGTTCTTGCCAAGATCTATAAAGTCCAAGCTTGTTTTTCAGTGACACGCACGCAATTGAAAAGGCAAAAGTAACGACTGACGGCATAATATACGGAATGCCCGAGACTTTCCTGCGACACTCTTAATTTTCTGCGCGTGGGCGCGGAGAGTTCAGGACAAATAAAATTTACGAACTCCGATAGAGACCCAGTAATAAGATATAAAAGCAGGGCGCTCGAAGTGACACTCGAAAATTAACTATCAGCCAGGCTTTGGCGCTTTTTGTCTCTCGGCTTCAATTAATTTATGGCCTCCTCGCTTTCCTGCCCTTTGTGCCGCCTGGCGAAATTGCGCCTCGAAGTAATCGAGGAAAATCGTGCTCCGGGTCGACCGGAGGAAATTGCGAATGTAGACAAAAGAAAGCGGAGTCAGCACTGCCATTTTATAGCAAAGCAAGTATTCAAATATCTGTCCAGCCTATAATTTCAAAAAGCTTATTTAAAAAGAATAAAAAATATTTTGTATTACTTGAGATTATAGTTTATTTCTATAAATATTTAGCTTCATTATCAGTTGTCCATTTTATTTCATGACTATTATTAAACATTTTCTACACGCTTTAAATAAATTTTTAGATTGTAATAATTTGAGCTTACGTTATAATTTTTGTTACATGCCGTTTTTTTCCACATCATTATGAGATCAAACAAAAAGTAATCAAATCTGTCATTTTTTTTTTTTTAAATAAAGCATATTTATTTGGAAAATAAGTTTCAAGTCCGGCCAACTCTAATCTGAGTTATCGGCTGGTGCTTATGCGACTAAAGCGCAAGGCTGAAAGCCAAGCACTTTTCTGCTCTATTCACATATTTTTACATGCGAGTTTTAAATTGAATTGTACAGATTCAATTTTTCAACAAAAAAAGTCCTGGGAATGCAAGAAGGAAAATAGTTTCACCTTCTTCTTCTGCACCTAGTCTCATAAAATTAACGTTCTTATCAAAACCAACTTTAATTTGTAAGTTACTCGCTCTTTTTCTCGTCCTTTTTTCCCTCCTTCCTTCATAAGCTCACGCTTTTACTTTTTTCAAACTTTTCCAAGCCTAGCTGCTATTGACAAAAATATTAAATGTCAACAAAATTTCTCTTTCTCATTTTTCAAGTTTCCCATTACAAAAATTCATCTCTCTCCACTATATTTTTTCTTTCAAAAGATTCCGTCACCAATAACCGGATTAGCTTTTTTTGTAAAAAAAATTCGCCTGCGGGAGACGGGCGCCGTCGATTTATTCATGTCGACCGTAAATATCATCAAAACCTAATAATGTGTGCGTCAGACATCAGCAGGCGCCCACCAGCAGCCTCTCCGTTCTCATAATTTATAATCCGAAATGACAAAACAGCGCCACAGAATGCGCTATGCAAATTATGCACGGCCCGTAAATTTCATCGCGAGAGTTCCTCGCCCTGCAAATTCCTCCTTGCCTTAGGAGAAAAGCTCTGTTGATGTGCAACAATCAACAATGAACACAAATTTTCCAGACCACAAAATTAATTTTTCTACCTGGTTATTTGTTAATTATGTACCTCTAAATTTAGTTTAATCAAACTTGAAGTAGCAGTTAATTATTCTTTAATACACTTATCAAATAAATAATTTATTTTGAACTATTATTGTTGTTGATTTATCAAAATTGTTCCATTACATTGATTTAATATTTATTAATTAAAATAATATAATTTATTTTGTTTTTATAAATTTAAATATAAAATATTAAAAATTAATTTAAAAAATATTATTTTATATGTTTTTATTTATTTATTAGTTTTATGTTAAATTTTTATAATCAATTATTATTTTGAGAATGGCTCAGCATATTCCTTATCATGTTTTAAGTATTTTTTTTAATTTTTTATTTGTATCTTCTGGTGCCTCTTATTTGCTATGTGTTGAGTTAAAATTTTCTCCCAATTTTGAAACTCGGTGCCATTTCAATGTTAATGTTGCAACGGACACTTCTCGTTTAGCTTCCTTACCAAAGCAATAGCGCATTCAAGATGATCCAATTTTATTTAAATGCTTCGCACCTCCTGTAGCGCAACTTACGCAAGCTCGCTCGTTTGTTTTTATGCAAAATTGAAAAGGTCTCGTCTCGTCGCAAAACTTTGGCGAAATGAAAAAAGTTGTCTTTCAACACTCTGAACGGCGCGTGCATGTTTTATGCCTGACGCTTTTCTTTTGCTCTCTTCTTTCACCACCAAGCTCGAATACAGAATCGCATCGAGCTGCTTTTTGCAGCACACGCACGCGACGAATCATTTTTCCTCGGGTACCTCTCAAAACGGCAAAATCTCTCGGCGACGCTCAGCCCATTCATCAGCAAGTCACCGCACCGTCTCGGCTAACAAACTACGGTGGCTTTATTTTTAACCCTGCACGCAGCCAAGAAGGGTCGTTCATTCAGAGGAAAGATAGCAACCGTCTTATTCAGAAAGAAAAAAAAGAGGATTCAGAATTAAAAGCAGAAATCCATTTTGCATAACTGCCGCTTTTATATTCTTCCTTCAGCACGAGGACTTTGTTTCCACTCGAGAAAATCTGGCGCCTCCAGTGCTGCGCGCTTTCCTCCTAGTTTGAGTGAAAATGAACATTCTGCACTGTGCGATTATAACCGAGTAAAAGGAGATTCGCTATAAAATTTTATTACCCAGGGCTGTTATTTTCCACTATGTGCACCGTTTGCAGTGCTTGAAGAGCTTTGTTTGTTTTCTGATTGAGTAAGGAAAAGAATACACGTGCTCTAATTTACTTAAAATGAACAAGATATCTAGATTTCCTTTTTTCCTTTTAGTTAAAACATGATTATTAGGCGAACTAATTATTCTAGATCATAATTTGTTAAATTTATAATAAATATATGGCAATAATGAAAAAAAAATGAGCACGAAATTTTTACCACAAATTTAGGGTGTAGCCAACAGTGATGACAGAGAGACGTATGAGACACCTTTCAAGCCAAAGCACAGGTCGGTTGGCAAGGGTTCGTGGATTTACTTGCAAAAAATCAGGTGAAAAGAACACAAAATTTGACGGATTTTTTACCTTTGTGATTTGTTTATAAAAAATCTAAAAAATATGCCATTCTGAATTTTTAATATGTTGTTCCTACATGTTAGGACTATCTTAGATAAAAATTTCAGCCCAATCGAAGGTGGCATATTTTTGCAAGAATTTTTTTTGTACGTGTGACCCCTGAAAAATGACTTTGACCTTTGACCTCTGGATTATTTGACCCCTCAGGATTGAAGAGAAGGTAAAAAGAAAATTTTTGGTGCTAGCCGCATTTCTGTATCTCAATTAGAACCCGAGATATTCCATTTTTAAGTTGAAACTACAGTAGCGTTTTTCCGGGAAAGCTTTTGACTTTTCCGAGTTTTTTCCACGCCAAAATCCGTCAAATTTTCACCTGATTTTTTGCAAGTAAATCAACGACCCCTTGCCAACCGACCTGTGCTTTGGCCATGATTTAATAAAATATTTTTATATTTTATTGCTAATTGATATGTTATTGAAGGGGAAATCGAAATGCATATTAATCAAAAACTTTTCACTTTCACTGATTTAAAAATAGAGAATTTAAAAAAAAAACCTATTTCCTCACAATTTTCTATAGACGAGCTTCTAATTGTACACATTAATTATTTTTGGCCTCAATATTTTAGCTTTTCATTTTTGAACCATATTTTTTACATTAATTTTCCAACACAAAATTTAATTTTATAAAGAATTTCTCATTATTTTTAAATGATATAAAAAAAGCATTTCAAATTGATTTTGTGGTTTTGTCAAACACCGTAAATTGTAAAATATTTCAAAATAATGCCTTGTTGTTGGAAACCATCAGCAACGTAATTTTGAAAAGTGACACAAAAACAATGGAATTGTGTCTGGCGGGGCTTGAAATAAAATGAAATTGTTCATTTTGCTCCCGTCGTGGCATTTAATCCAGGAGAGTAAAAAAAAAAAAAATAACTGGAGCCTTTTACAAACATTTGTTTGCGCTACACTTTTCAGGCGAGTGAGTCCTTACGGCTCCTTTCCTTTTTTCGCATTTCGCAAACGGTACCAAATGAGCAGCAGGCGGCGCACCCCATTTGCGTAAAAACCCACTCCACCTGGACGAGCCCTTTGTCTCTTTCTCCTTTTTTCCACTACAGTTTTTTCCTTTTCCGGTCTTAAATGGCTT